TTCCCCCCAAAGTTAAGGCTAGTTGGGGATAGTTAACCCTTATTAAGGTTATTTGAGGGGGGAGCCTGAGGGGGGTAGTAGGGGAACCCATCACTTTCGTTCACCCTAAACTTTAAACCCTAAACCCCAAACCCTAAACCCTAAACCCAAACCCTAAACAGGCCCCATTTTGGGCAAGTAGTTAGTCCCATGAACCTTCCAGTGTGTATCATCTTGATACAGCCGAAGTCCCCCTAAGCCCTGCAAGTTTAGGGTTCGGGGTTTAGGGCTTTAGGGCATTAGGGCATTAGGGCATTAGGGCATAGGGGTTTAGGGGTTTAGGGGGTTTAGGGGTTTAGGGGTTTAGGGGTTTAGGGGTTGAGGGGTTGAGGGGTTTAGGGGTTTAGGGGTTTAGGGGGTTAGGGGGTTAGGGGTTTAGCGGCTTAGGGGTTTAGGGGTTAGGGTTTAGGGTTTAGTAGGGTTTACAGGGGCTAGGGTTGAGGGTTTTGGTGCTTTCAATCCTCTGAAACTATTGCCCCTGTTTGTCGGATTACGTTGTCTCATTACTATCCTTAACTCTTAACCTCAAGCCTGGTTATGCGCAAAGAAAGGGTGTTCGTTGCTTATTATGCCTGAGGTACTTGGGAACCGAAGAATTCCCAAACCCCGCAGCGTTCATCCCGGCCTAAGGGTTAAGGGCTGAGGGTTGAGGGTAGACGGTTTAGGGTTTGTGGAGCAGGGTTAGGAGGGTTTAGGGATTAGGGTTTGGGGTTTTGGTGTTCTGCTGCTTTAGCTTCTTAGAAACTGGACCCGATACTCCAGGCCTGAAAGTGGCAAGGGTTTAGGGTTTAGGGTTTAGAGTTTAGGGTTTAGGGTTTAGGGTTCATGGCGAAGTGGTGGGCGAGTGGTTGGACTCGGCGTCCAGCGCTTCACAGCAGGATGCTTCCAAACGATCCAGGAGATCAAGAATCTTATGCAACAGTGCCCTACCTGAACCCTAAACCGTAACCCCTAAACCCCTAAACCCCTAAACCCCTAAACCCCTAAACCCCTAAACCCCTAAACCCCTAAACCCCTAAACCCCTAAACCCTAAACCCTAAACCCTAACCCCTAACCCTTTGGTATCTGAGGGCTCATCCATACGGCACCCAAGAGCGTGCTGTTCAGTATGCTTGTATCCACATGAGACGAGCTCTGCGTAAGCCGGATGAAGATGTGCACCTGAAGTGCCTGTCACTGCGTGTCTGTGTGCCGAACTCTGCTTTGGAGTGATGGGTATGCGATGTCGTGTTGATTCCACAAGCACTCCACCCTGGTCGCATATAGGGGTATTTCAGAGGCTCTGTTTCAGCACCGTCCTAGACCTTGTGAGGCCCATGGGAACTTGTGTTCCACGCCGCCCACGATTGAAGCAGGCTTAACATTTTTCTCCTTCTAAAGCTCATGAACCCCAAGCGCTGATCATTCCAAAGGCCCCAGGCAAGGGAACCAGGTTGCTTTCTGCTGGTTCCTCAACATTTCGCGCAGCGACCGTGCATGCACTTGCTGGCGAGAACGTGCGTGCGAAATTTTTCAGGTTTAAGGTTTACTGACAACCTTCTAACTTGGTTGCTGGTAGCTACCCCTGCTACAAGTTGGCACATAACTTCAATCCCAAGTACAGCTATAAGCTCGGTCTCCCTCCAAGGCCTAGTAAAGCTTAAGTCGCGCGCCCCTCACTGTTTGCGTTTGCTTCTTGGACTCTAAGGGTGGCTACATGGTCCCTTACTATGGGCCCTGCAAAACCCCTTACAAACCCCTTAAATACACCGGAAAACGGTCCGGTACTTCCCCTAAATGAACCGAGGAGAAGGAGCTGCTAAACAACTCACAGGCCTGTTGGTACTGGGTCAAGGACAGTGGGGTTCGGCGAGTTGTTTGGGGGGGAGGACTGTGGGTGCCGAATCGTACCTCCTGTGGGGATGAGCCGCAACGATTGAAATTACAAGCTTCCTTCATTAAACCCTAAAACTTTTGTCAAGGAAAAATATGCCATGACTTTCCATGCTTTTTCTGGCACGGCTCAAGAACACCTGCCTTCGGGCAATTTAGGGTATTTTCGGGTTTCTAACAGGGTCAGCCTTTAGATGTTTTTCAGTCCTTTGCTTCTGCGTTCTTAACACTCGTAAGAAATTTATCAGCAAACAAATTTGAAGAATGTGAAAAAACTAAGAAATCATTCAAAAACAGCTTCTGACAACACAACAATGTTACACATACTCCGGTGTTTCGCTCGCTTCGCTCGCCATCACTTTTTCCTGAAAACAAATACTTGTTATTGTTGAATGATCAGATGATGGCGATGATTTGTTTTTGAATGATTTTTTAGTTTTTCACATTCTTCAAATTTGCTTGCTGATAAATTTCTTACGCGTGTTAAGAACTTTTCTGAAAATAAATTATTTGTTCTTGTTGAATGATGAGATAATGATTTGTTGATTGTTCAAGGTGCTTACAGATCATTGTCATTCTTGTGCAAACTTCTTACTTTTTGTCGGATGTCTCTCGGTAACTGAAGAATCTGTTCCAAAGGTACTTCAGAGTCAGGCACGCCCAGGAAGAATGGAAATTTAATATGTGTGTGTGTTCTTGCCAAGTAGAGCAATCGGCTTCAAATGTTGAAGTTGATTGGTGGGAGGTTGTCTAGTTGGAAGTTTGCCAGGCAGTGGCTGTCTGGAAGAATGCGGTTTTAACCAGCTCGTTTTTGTTTAATGTTAAAGTTTTTAACAAATTTTTGAAGACTCTCGAACCTTTACAACATTCAGGTTTGGTTGTTGTGCCAATGACCTCTGGAGTTTTTTTGCTTTTCTTGGAACCATAGAAATGATCGAGGCCACGTCCGGCAAACTGAATCAATCAACAAGCATGGGATTGAGAGTACTCAGTTTGTACTCTCCAGAAAACACTATTGCCAAGTGTCTTTGAGCTTTCGAGTGAGCCGTTTTGCTTGCACGAGTAGTGTGAGGTTTGTGCAACCTTTCACGGTGTGGGATCTGGGTTTGGTTCCACTTGCGAGGACACCAAAAGCGACATCGTGTCGTCCATACCTTCAACTGGTGCAGGCTCTGATCTTCGAATTGGTCTTCCCAACCTTATACCCTAAACCCTAAACCCCAACCTTATACCCTAAACCCTACACCCCTACCCTAAACCTTAAGCCCGAAGCTATATGCACCCGTCCCTCGGCTACGGGAACATGTGCCCTTGCCCATGTGCCCTTTGGGGTGGTCGAATGCCGCGTGCGTTTTAGCCACTGGGATGGTGCCCCAAAAGGAAAAGGAAAAATAGAAGAACCACCCCATATGTGCAAGAGATCTGAGGATAGGCTCTAAAAGTGACTTCGGGCGCCTTGGTGAACCCTAAAATCCGGCGCAGGCTACCGAGGAGTCAGCCAGGACGCAAACTTCGCGGGGGACATGCGTGCGACTGAGCTGCAGACCCCGCCTTGTCACGTTGTCGGGATCCTACGCCATAATCCTAAACCCTAAACCCTAAATCCTAAGCCCGCTTTTGTAGCTATGTACTATGTATATCCTTGCTAGGACACAGAGCTGACACTCATTCCCCGTTTTGGGGGGGGGCTTAGGTAGTCTTACAAGCACCTTTAAACCCAAAAGGGTATCTTCGCTTGCTCTTGGTTTAGGGTTGAGGGTTTAGGGTTTACGGTTTAGGGTTTAGGGTTTCGGGCATTTTGGTCTAGACTTGGTCAGCCGCGAAATTGCCAGAACACAGACGTGCTTCTATGGAGGTTCCTTGAAAATGGACGATCGGCTCCCCCAAATACAAAAACCCAATCCCACCCTTTCCCCCGAACCTAAAACTCGGTCCGGCTGGAGATATACTTTTGGGTTTGACTTAGCCCCCCCCCCCCCCCCAATCTGAGGTTTAGGGAAGCTGGTCAAACACATGTTTGTAAAGTGGCTACGACATTGTTGGCATGGCGAGGGTGTAGGGTTTAGGGCTGAGGGCCCACATCCAAAACCCCAAAACCTAAACACTAAACCCCAAAAGTTTAGCTTAAACGCTGAACCGGCTTAGTGAAATACTACACCCTCAAAGGAAGACAGTCAACCCTCATCCATGAAGATTCAGCCTTGGACTCGTTCCTAAACCCTACACCCTAGGCCCTAAATCCTAAACCCTAAACCCTCAACCCTCAGCCATGCTCAGGAATCCTACAACCTCTGCGCGCCTCCTGAGCTTCCTGGCGCGCGGAGCAGATTGTGGAGCTGTGAGGCGGTTTAGGGTTTAGGGTTTAGGGTTTAGGGTTTAGGGTTTAGGGTTTAGGGTTTAGGGAGCTGCCAAGTCAGCTGCAAGGTGGCATCTGGGGGGTAGGGCAGGGTTGAATTAGTGCTTAGATTCTAAGCCCTCAAAAAACCCTAAACCCTAAACCCTAAACCCTAAACCCTAAACCCTAAACCCTAAACCCTAAACCCTAAACCCTAAACCCTAAACCCTAAACCCTAAACCCTAAACCCTGAACCCTTGAACCCTTGAACCCTTGAACCCTTGAACCCAAAGCCCTAAACCCACCCCGGCCTTAAAGCCTAAGCGCCCTCTACGGTTACAAAGACAAGCAAACCCCTAGACCCCTACATTGTCATATGAAGCAGGGTTTATATTACTGTTATTGGTGACTGTGTATAAGGTTCCTTTTTAATATTGGTGAGTGTATATACCTGGTGTCCTTTTGGGGGTACAAGAATTATATACCCTGCTTCATATTATCAATTCCTAAACTGCATTTAAGAAGCCCGTAGGCCCCAAATCTTACATCCTATCAAACCCAAGCCCGGAGAGTCAGGGTTTGTTCGGGTTTAGGGTTTAGGGTTTAGGGTTTAGGGTTTAGGGTTTAGGGTTTAGGGTTTAGGGTTTAGGGTTTAGGGTTTAGGGTTTAGGGTTTAGGGTTTAGGGTTTAGGGTTTAGGGTTCAACCTTCAAAAATCCAAAGGCTTCTTGACATCTCCAACGAGACGTGTGGCATGGCATCGAACCTGTGGCCGGACCACAGGAGCGATGGACTCTCGACTTAGGGTTTAGGGTTTAGGGTTTAGGGTTTAGGGTTTAGGGTTTAGGGTTTAGGGTTTAGGGTTTAGGGTTTAGGGTTTAGGGTTTAGGGTTTAGGGTTTAGGGTTTAGGGTTTAGGGTTTCCGTGTTTAGGGTTTCGAGTTCCTACACCCTAATCCCTAAACCCCCAACCCGAAACCCTAAACAACCCCTAGCCCTAAACCCGAAACCTTAAACCCTAAACCCAAAACAGCCCCTAGCCCTGCACCCAAAACAACCCCCAGCCCTAACCCCAAGCAACCCTGAGGCCTGAACCCTAAACCCTAAACCCTAAACCTTAAGCCCTAATCCCTAGGCCCTAAACCCTAAACCCTAAACCCTAAACCCTAAACCCTAAACCCTAAACAGGACCATGCCCGCCACAAGCGAAGGCTGGTGTGGGGCCTTCCATCACAAGGCCACGGAGCACCCTGCCTCTGCGTTGTAAGGCTTAGGCTTTAGAGGAGGGGGGGGGCGGGGTAGGCTTTAGGGTTTAGGGTTTGGGGTTTAGGGCTCAGGGCTTGGGCTTAGGGTTTTGGGCCTTGGGTTTTGGGTTTGAGGGGTTTGGTTATTGCGACCCAGAAGCCCTAACCCGAAACCCTGTATGTGATCAGGCATCTGACGTCTCCAGTCCGGGGGGTGGGCTTGGGTTTAGGGTTTAGGGTTTAGGGTTTAGGGTTTAGGGTTTAGGGTTTAGGGCTTAGGGTTTAGGGTTTAGGGTTTAGGGTTTAGGGTTTAGGGTTTAGGGTTTAGGGTTTAGGGTTTAGGGTTTAGGGTTTAGGGTTTAGGGTGGGGTTCATGGCAACATTATGTTAGAGGGTTTGTTGGGTCTGTAGCGTTGACAGGTTTTAGGGCGTGTGGCGGGGTCCCCGGCATTTGGGCGCCATATTGCTGTAGGAATCCGAAAAGGAAACCGAAATTTGCCGTCGAACCCTAAGCTCAGGATTTAAAGCTTAGGGCTTATAGGGTTAGGGTTTAGGGTTTAGGGTTAGTGTTTAGGGTTTAGGGTTTAGGGTTTCGGGTTTAGGGTTTAGGGTGTAGGGTTTAGGGTTTAGGGTTTGGCTCTGCAGCAAATTCGAGGTACTTCCGGGCGTGCCTGGAGACCTGTGGAGCTCTCCGGAAAAAGCTCGAGGAGCCCGATTGCCTCTTGGATTGAACTTCGTCCAAGGGTTCAGGGTTTGGGGTTTAGGGTTTGGGGTTTAGGGTTTAGGGTTTAGGGTTTAGGGCCTTAGGCCTTGGCCCTATAAACGCGCTGAACCCTAAACCCCAAACCCCAAACCCTAAATCCTCCTGTTGGTTAGCTGGGAATGAGGAAATGAGGGCCCCGATGCAATCCCTAGCCTTAAAGGGATTATCAAGGGGCCCGAATTCCCTCATTCCCGGCTAATGTTGGTAAGAAAATCGCATCGGGCCCTGAACCCTATAATAGGGGCCTGAATGATTTGAATAGGGCTTTGTGCGGGGCATTGTAGTATATTCACAAAGGGACCATAAAGGGAATATTGCTGGTAAGGTTTCCGACCCCTATATTGCAGTCTCCACAACAGCGCGCTGTTGAGGCCTGGGTCCTTTCCTGCGGGACAGCGCGCTGTCGGAGGATGCTTTCAAGCGTTCCACGAGCCTGCTTGGCTTCACGCACTACAACTACTCTCAGCCTCTCTGCCATCGAAGTTCAGGTTTCGGATTTTAGGGTTTAGGGTTTAGGTCAGACTGCACCAGCTGAGTTCAAGACTACTCTGTTCTGCCTAGAGCCCCCGATCCCCGCTTATGTTGACTTCTTTGGTCTTGTTAGCTCATTAAGCAAAACAAGCGCTGTTGGGATTAGAACTATTATTGTTCCCGCGGGGCTCATTTCATTATATTTAAAGTGTACATTTGTCCCGCGATTATAATGTCTTCGTAAACGTTAATATTGTGCATGAAATTAGAGAACGAAAGACAACGAACAGACGAAATGAATTTAACACCCGCGTCTCTTGGAAATCTAATAATAGCATAACGAAGAAGAAGCACGAACTCCCAACCTTTCCAGACGGCCTAATTGTTCACACTTTATTCGCTTTATTATTAGCGTATTAGCGTACACCATTAATGCTAATACTAATGTTAAGGGAACACGCATGAATTCTATCTGCTGCTGCTGCTGCTGCTGCTGCTGCTGCTGCTGCTGCTTATTAGCCCCCAAAGCCGGAGTGAGGGAAGCCTAAAACCGAAGTCTTAAACCTAAGCAGAACCATAGCATACACCACTAAATCAGTAATCCAAGTTGCGTGGGCCTTGAACTCGAAACCCTAAACCCTCTAACCCTTCGGGGCTTGTCAGACAGAAGAGCCATCTGGGAATGAGAGCTTGCCTGTTTTTCCAATGCAAACCCTAAACCTAGACTAACCCCAAACCCTAAACCCGCAACCTGAACACTGGACCCTTAACCCCAAATTTAAGACCCTGAGCCCTGTTGAACCCTGAACTCTAAACATGACCCATGCGCGCTCTTTCAACCCCCCCCCCCCCCCCCAAGGCTTTCCAGATTTACACTAAGTGATTTTTCTGTTACTTTGATCAGCCGTAGGTCAGGGGGGGCAGGGTTTCCATAGCAGTCTGTCCTAAAATCGAAGCTCACTGGGTCAGGTTCAACCCCGTTGGCGGGTATTCTGCCTCAGAGAAGACCCAGCAGCCTCTCGCAAGCAAGCAGAGTTGCAAACGTAGTTTCGGTCACACAAGTGACTTCCTGAGGGGTGCTGGTATAGCAACCTACCAAAAGCCAAGGCTTTGTGGGCGTCTGGGATATTTGGGATTTAGGTCTTTGGTTGGGTTTGGGTTGGAGGAGATAGGCTCTGGAGGTTTGCGGTTGCAAATCCTGCTAAACCTAAACCCTAAACCCTAAACCCTAAACCCTAAACCCTAAACCCTAAGTCCGATTAAATGATCAGTTTGAAGGCAAGTCTTCGGCATCCGCCCACACCAAGATGATGGCTTGTGCACCTTGTTGTACACAGCGCCTCGACGCCCATCGCTTGAGGGTTAGGGTTTAGGGTTTAGGGTTAAGGGTTAAGGGTTTAGGGTTTAGGGTTTAGGGAGTTTAGGGTTTAGGGAGTGTAGGGCTTAGGGCTTAGGGTTTAGGGTTTAGGGTTTCGGCTGGGTTCTGAGTTCTTGGTTTTGGGTTGATGTTGGGCTTGTCAATCAAGAGAGCAGCGCGACCATTTCAATCCAAGAACTGGAAGCACAAGCGCCAGTGGAACACTTTCGTAGGTATTCCGCGGCAACGCTAGAATGATCTACTGTCTGCAGGACACAAAGTACGCCATTCTACGCCATTCTGCTTAAGGAGTGACAGCGCTTGTGAGAGACTCTGCATAGCTCCATACAAAACTGTGCCGGCATGCCCAAGCAATCTGCCAGAACAAATCAACCGTAAGGCGGCCCTGGAGCCAGAAACCCTAAACCCTAAACCCTGAACCCTGAACCCTAAACCCTAAACCCTAAACTCCAGAACTGTGCTTGCTGTTGCTGAGGCCATCACATCACTGCAGTTATTCCACCTCTGGTAATTAAGGGGGATTTCTTGAACTCTCCCCCCACCCCCCCCCCCCCCCCCAGAAAAAAAAAAGTCTTGCGAAGCCCTTTTTGGCAGAAGGATGCACTAGGATAGAAGCGAACGTCCTACATGGCTTTTTGTTGCATGCAAATTTGGACTTGGCCAGTCGACACCCACCTGACATTTTCTTGGCCCATCACAGGCTGCGGGTGATTTTTGTTTAGGGTTCAGGGTTCAAGCGCACCTGACAGGGGTTAGGGTTTAGTGGATTAGGGGTTACACCCTAAACCCTAAACCCTAAACCCTAAACCCTAAACCCTAAACCCTACACCCTAAGCCCACACAGGAGAAGGGGTCTACATGGGGAGGTGGTTTTGCCTGCTTCTCGGGGCCAAGGCAGTGCCTTGTGGGACACAGCCGAACGGTGGCTCTAGGCTTCATTTGTGGCCCATGCTCGCCTCACGCAAGTGCTACTAGGACCCGGAGTATGCCCTTATATATATATATACATACATATATATATATATATTATTTTTGTATATTATTAGTTTTTTATTTTTGTATTGTATTTGTTTTTCTATTTTTAGGGTTGGGGTTCCCCTATAAGCCCCCTTACAACCAAAAAGGGCACGCCCCTTTTTTTTCCCAGGTTACTCCTGGGTTCGAGGTAGTAGCATGCCCGCAGGCAAAGCTCCCCGTTGATCCATCGGCACAAGCCAGAGTTGATCCGAATGGGTGCTGCAGTCTACCCTGGCGAGGAAAGGAACCCTAACCCTAAACCCTAAACCCTAAACCCTGAACCCTAAACCCAGGAATAGGAATTATAGTAGTATAGGGTATATGACCCCAACCGTAGGGTTCATCTTGGTCCCAAGGTATGTGTCGACTCAATACCCCGTACCCCGTGAAGAGCCACAAAATTCCACTGCCTAAGCATGGCCAGAACATCGTGTATTCGCGTTGCAACGTGCGACAGATGATTGATTTGATGGTGAGATGCGACAGACATCGGTAGTTGATGGTTGCATGCTGATCAGACCGATGGACAGTCCATTCCATGAACATTGTTACGCCCCTTTCTTTTTGCATGCCACCATGATCACCATCACCATGACCATCATCACCGCCATCGCCATGTCAAAGCATCGGACAATGCAAATGCGTCTACTGCATGTCTGACTATGGGTTCCAACCTTCGACCCAATTTGCATGCAGCGATGACCCCTGAACCTTTCATCCCAAAAGCCTCAGCACCATGCCCAGAAACTTGAACCCTAAACCTTAAACCCCAAAACACCCTAATTTAGGGTTTAGGGTTTAGGGTTTAGGGTTTCTACAGCCTCAGCTATCCATGCAAGCTGAGGATGGACAGGGAGGCCGGGCCGCGAGACGAATGAATTGCGGGGTTAGGGCATGCAGCTTTGGGGGGTTGTGAGGGTTTTGGGGGGGTTTAGGGAGGTTTAGGGGGGTTTAGGGGGGTTTAGGGGAGCTTAGGGGAGTTTAAGGGGGGTTAGTTGGTTCAGGGGGGTTCAGGGGGGTTCAGGGGGGCTCAGTGATGTTCAGGGAAGGTCGGGTTCAGGGGGCTTAGGGGGGGTTCAGTGGGGCTTAGGGGGGTTTAGGGGGCACACGAAGTGACGAAGTGGTTGTACGGACCCCCTAAACCCTACACTGCAAACCTGAAAGGCTACAGTCTCTAGACCCTAAATCCCCAAAAACACCTAAAGCCCCTCTAAACCCTAAACCCCTTGTGCCTAAACCCCTGTATATCCCCTAAACCCCAAAACCTCCGAAACCCCGAATTGCCTAAACCCCTAATCCCTAATCCCCAACCAAAACCCTCGAAGCCCTAAGATCAGGGCCCATGAAGCCGAAGATGAAGCCCTGAACCTTAAAACACCCTCAGCCGTCTGTAAACCCTCTGAAACCCTCAATCACCCTTGAAGCCCTAAACCCTAAACCTAAACCCTAGAATCCCTACGCCCTTGTAAACCCTCTCTAACGCTCAATCACCCTTGAAGCCCTAAACCCTAAACCTAAACCCTCGAATCCCTAAGCCCTGAATCTAAATACCCTCTCCTCGGGCCAGGCCTCGAGTACGCCAAAGGTTTGCGAAATGCGTCTTCCCAGGACGGAGTCTTCTCTGCCCTGCTACGGTTTAGGATTCAGGGTTGAGGGTTCAGGTTTCAGGGTTCAGGGTTTAGGACGCAGATTCAGGGCTCAGAAAGCCTCACGGCCAAACCGACCGACAAATTCTACATCCGCAGCAAGACAACCTACTGAACCTAAACCCTAACCCTAAACCCTAAATCCGAAACCCTAAACCCTAAAGCCTAAACGGCCGGGAGGGTGAGCAGATGTTTTCAGGCTATAGGGGCCTTGAGGAAGCGGGGGGTTCATGGGCGGGATGGGTACCTAGGAAGCCTTAAGGAAGCCTTAAGGGAGCCTTAGGGAGTTGTGGACCTTGGGTTACACGCCCCCCTTGAGCCCCCCTCCATTAAGAACCCAACCCTAAACCCTAAACCCTAAACCCTAAACCCTAAACCCTAAACCCTAAACCCCCTTCCCTTAAGGACCCTGTAATCAGACTTAGCTGCTGGATGGTCTCTAAGGGTGAAGGGGGCTCCAAGCTCCTGTAGGCTTTCGGGTTTAGGGCTCAGGGTTCGCACGGTTTGCACCCTAAACCCTAAACCCTAAACCCTAGACCCTAGACCCTAAACCCTAAACCCTAAACCCTAAACCCTAAACCCTAAACCCTAAACCCTAAACCCTAAACCCTAAACCCTAAACCCTAAACCCTACAGACCCTGCAAGCCATCCCCAACTCGGAAGGCAATGATGTCGGACCTCTCACTTTACTCCGGTGCACAGTGCGCCTTGTTGAACTTTACGTTTAGGGTCTAGGGTCTAGGGTTTAGGGTTTAGGGTTTTATGGTTTAGGGTTCAGGGTTCAGGGTTTAGCGTTTAGGGTTTAGGGTTTAGGATACCCCTCGCATCGACTTCCAGGCCGCGCTGATCTCCAGTTTTCAGATGCGGTGGTTTGGGAGCCGGTTCCCTTCCTGCCAGGACGGTTTTGAAGGGTGGTTGGGGGGGGAGGGGGGGGGGAACTTCGGACCCTAAACCCTATAAACCCTACAAACCCTATAAACCCTATAAGCCCTATAAACCCTACAAACCCTACAAACCCTATAAACCCTATAAACCCTATAAACCCTATAAATCCTAAACCCTATAAACCCTATAAACCCTGCACCCCGTAGGCCTTGAACCGAATCATTGTCAAATTAGCAGGTTCCAGAGCTTCTCGAGTTTGGGGCTCAAGGGGTTCGTGTTTGCGTGTTTGTTTGGGGTTTAGGGTTTAGGTTGAGGGTTTAGGGTTTAGGGTTTCACCCTTGGCAACTTCTTGGGCTGGCGCCCTAAATCCCCAAAACCCGAAAACTCTATGCCCAAAGCCCCTCTCTTCCCCAACCCTAAACCGTGACGAAGCCCTAATCGCTACAAAACCTCTATAAAAACCCCATAAAATCCTTCTAAGCCCGAGAAAGCCACCAATAGCCCCTATCAACCCCTAACGCGCGAAGGGCTCCTTAAACCCCACACCCGATTCCTAAACCTCAAACCCTAAACCCTAAACCCTAAACCCTAAACCTCAAACCCTAAACCCTACAAAACCCCAATAAAACCCCCTAACGCACGTCGGGCACTGGATCGTCAACCTGGAGACCACATGAACCCTAAAATTGGGTCCAATCCCTCTACTACTGTAATTCCTATTAAGGTAGATGAACTCGGGATCCTCAACCCTAAACCCTACACCCTAAACCCTAAACCCCAAACCCTAAACCCTAAACCCCCTATCCCTAAACCCTAAACCCCAAACCCTAAACCCTAAATCCCTAAACTCTAAACCCCAAACCCTAAACCCCAAACCCTAAACCTTAAACCCTAAACCCCCTATCCCTAAACCCGAAACCCTGAGTAGGGCACTGGATCGTCAACCTGGGAACCGACCTCTTCCGCTGGGCGCAGCAGTCCTCCAGCCGATCCTCGTCGTGTCGACCCTGCAAGGTGCGTTTAGGGTTCCGGGTTTAGGGTTTTGGGTTTTGGGTTTAGGGTTTTGGGTTTAGGGTTTAGGGTTTAGGGTATCTGGTTGTGAGTGTATTTTGGGGTATGTCGGGTATTGGGTACGTAGTTTAAGGTAGTTTCGGATGTGTTCGGGGTAGTTTGGGGTGTTTGCGTGATTCAGAGTATTTAGGGTTTTCAGGGTTTAGGATTCAGTGTTTTTTTTGGATTTGGGCGTGGGCCTCAGTTTTTTCGAGTTCAGTATTCAGGGTGTTCGGGTTTAGGGTTCAGTGTGTTTTGGGTGCAGGATTCAGGGTATTTAGCGTGTGTTCGGGCTGCTTTTGATTTAGGGTTATAGAGCTAGTCTGCCACGTGCCCGAGGCAGGTTTTTTGGAAACCTTCGTTTGTCCGCATCCGACATAGATTTTCCCTTCGTTCTCGTCAGCCGCTCTAATTCCTCAGCTGTAAGCCCCAAAACCCTTAAACCTTCAAACCCTCAACCCCAAACCCTCAAACCCTCAGACCCCCAAGCCCTCAAGCCCTCAAACCTTCAAACCCCTGAAACCCTCAAACCCCTCAAACCCTCCAAACCCCTCAAACCCTCAAACCCCTCAAACATCTAAACCCCTCAAACATCTAAACCCCTCAAACCCCCAAACCCCTAAACCCCTAAACCCCTAAACCCCTAAACCCCTAAACCCCTAAACCCCTAAACCCCTAAACCCCTAAACCCCTAAACCCCTAAACCCCTAAACTCTAAACCCTGAGTCCCTTCGAGTAACAGGCGACCCTCCACCGAGTCGTACCGATCACCGGAACCAGAGATCGCTACTCCATGCCCTTCTTCTACGAGCCGAACCTTGGGGGACTGAAGCCCCCAGCAGATTTTGGGGTTAGAGTAGGGCTTGGGTCTCTAACCCTAAACCCTAAACCCTAAACCCTTAACCCTTTACCCTAAACCCCAAACCCTAAACCCAAACCCCGAACCCCAAACCCTAAACCTGAAACCCTAGGGTCATGGGTTTGCGGTGCGTAACCGGCCCCTTGAATCGGCAACTTGGACGTTTCCCCAAGGAACCTGGACGTGCGTGATCCATGCCCTCCGCACACACCGAGGTGCTTGGCTACGCTTTGAGGGTTTAGGGTTTAGGGTTTGGGGTTTAGGGTTTAGGGCTAGGGTTTAGGGGTTTAGGGTCTAGGGTTTAACCCTAAACCCAAATTCGGGGTAAGGGCTTTGGGGGCTTAGGGTTTATAGGGTTTATGGCTTATGTTTTAGGCCTCTATGGTTCATGATCCATATATAAATATAGGCTTTCCTGAAGCAAGCGCATCTGTAGGGGATGTTCTCCCCATCCGGGAGGTTGAGTACGAAACTTACTTGCTGAGAAAAGCTAACCTTTAACCTCTTGGGGTATGGAGTCCTGTCAGAGTTGAAAGGTTATCCTCTGTTTTTCCAGAGTACTCAGCGACTAGGAAGAAAGCAGCCCAGGTATGAGTACCTGATGAAAGATGCTGCTGGCGGCGTGGTGCAAAAGCTGCCGGAGAAGTCTGTGAAGCCATAGAGAACACGTTTGAGGCCAGAGCAGCACAAAGGCAACTGTCACTTGCACGTGCTCGCAGCGTGCTTGTCGAATATGAGTAGTTCTCTAAAGTAGGGTCCCTTTGTTGGAACCCATGATAAGGCGGCACCCTTTAATCAGAGACCCCCCAAAAAAGGAGGAAACTGCCCATACTTGTGCGATTTGCTAGTTAGTGTTCGTGCAGGACGAAGCCAACTAAAGTATAGTCCTTCACACAGTCGTGAGCCCTCCTAAACGCCATCATGGGTCCGCCAGGTTTCTCGATGGAGCCGCGTAGCAGCACGAGCCGGGACTCTTCAGCAGCTGGACATCGGAGAGCTGGTGCCCCTCCTCACTGCGAGGTTAGGATGCAGGGTTTAGGGTTTAGGGTTCAGGGTTTAGGGTTTAGGGTTTAGGGTGCCCACACTTCCAGGCAACGCGGATCCGCAATCAGCAGGACCAGGGCTTGTCATGATGTTGCCGGCCCCAAACTTCAGCAGAGCCTCCGACGTTCCTAGAGATCTGAGAGAGGCTGAGGGTGTCGACCCATGGCCGCATCCGAAGAAGAAGCTGAGGTGTCAAAAAAGTGCAGAGCACGAACTCAACCCCCAGTCTCCTGAACCAGCAAGGGCGCCAGGGGGGGGTTCAGGAGGTGTTAGGGGGTCAGGGAATGCGTCAGGGGAGTCTCTCAATCCCGCAACGTACTGAACACGAGGGTTTAGGGTTTGAGGTTTAGGGTTTACATCGGGTTGAGAGTCCAGATGCGATCACGCTCTCACAAGCAGCAGAGGACGCCGAGGAATGAAACAAGGTCATGATCCTACTACCGCACGAAATCCCCTATTTAAAGATTGCACTGTTGATCCCCTAATCGACCGAAGACAAACTCCTTCATCTATGGGTAGTTGTATTGGTCCCTTACCTCCTTTACCGGCATAAGGGGTATATAAGAGGCATTACAAGGGGTCCCCCATTTAAGGGCCCCATACTAAGGAATCATGTAAACACGCCGAAAGTTTCGGGCCGAAACCCTAAACCCCCTGATCTCCCGGAGCCCCCTGAACCACTAAGACTTCAGGGCTAGACAGGCCACGGTGCCTCGAGCCGCGCTGCGCACCTGTCGCGCACGAGATATTTGACAGGGCTCTACACCCTAAATCCTAAACCCTAAACCCTAAACCCTAACCCCTAAACCCTGGCCAGATGTCGGGTACCTTCGGCGGACGCCTGGCTGCTGGCATGGAGCGGGCCTTCATCCAGGGATTAGACGAGGTCCTTGTGCGGCGTGGCGGCAAGCGGCCCTAACCCCTAAAACCCTAAACCCTAAACCCTAAACCCTAAACCCAAAACCATAAACCCTAAAACCCTAAACCCTAAAGCCTAAACCCTAAACTGTAGCTCTCTAGGGCTTAGAAAGCTCCAATTCAAAAGGTTCAACATCGAAGTCCCGTCTTTAAGGGTTTAGGGTTTGAGGTTTAGGGTTTAGGGGTTTGGGGGTTTAGGGGTTTAGGGGTTTAGGGGTTTAGGGGTTTAGGGGTTTAGGGGTTTAGGGGTTTAGGGGTTTAGGGGTTTAGGGGTTTAGGGGTTCAGGGGGGTTCCGCAAACAAAGCAAACCCTTACTTGAAGTCAACCCTTAAACATAAAAACCCAGCGCCCTAGAGCCTAAAACTCCCTGAGCCCCAAACCCTAAGCCCTAAGCCCTAAACCCTACACCCATTCTTTGGGCCTTAGGCTTGTTTGAGGAGGCGTGTTGAGATAAAACCTGGTGGTTTCATGTGAATACGTATATACGTATATACGTATATACTTATATACGTATATATATATATATATATATATATGTGTATGGGGTTTCGGGTTTCGGGTTTAGGGGTTTAGGGTTTAGGGTTATGTAGGCTTTAGGGTTTAGGGTTTAGGGTTTATAGGGTTTAGGGTTTAGGGTTTATTTAGGGTTTAGGGGTTTAGGGTTTAGGGTTTAGGGGTGGGGGGTTTAGGGTTTAGGGTTTAGGGTTTAGGGTTTAGGGTTTAGGTTTAGGGTTTAGGGTTTAGGGGTTAGAGATGGCAAAAGCTAGATTTGACGCGTCCAGATGTTCAATACATGACAACCACAGTATGCCCAAATCTCTGCACATGACAGTAAATTGGCCTCTTGCATGTCCCGGAAAAGAGTGCTCGACACCAGAATTGTTTTTAACACTTGACCTTGTTTGAGGGTTTATGTTTGGTGCTCGCCATAGCCCCTCGAGCCTTGAACCCTAGGCCCTAGTGTCCCAAAACTCCCGGATGGGAGAACTAGTCTAGGGTTGAGGGTTTAGGGTTTAGGGTTTAGGGTTTAGGGTTTAGGGTTTAGGGTTTAGGGTTTCAAGCCCTAGGCTCATGTTACGACCCCACCATCGGCACGCCGAAACCCCCAACCCTAAGGCCTAAACCGAAAATTGGTATTCCTGGTTTTCGGCTTAGGGTTTGGGGTTTGGGGTTTAGGGTTTAGGGTTTAGGGTTTAGGGTTTAGGGTTTAGGGTTTAGGGTTTAGGGTTAAGGGTTAAGGGTTAAAGGTTAAGGGTTAAGGAAAGGTTTTGGCTTAGAGTTCAGGGTTCAGGTGTTAGACTGGCGATGTCGGAGGAGGGGACAAAGTCAACCTCGAGCCGTAGACCCAAAAAGCATTAATTCAGCTAGCCTTGAACCCTAAACCCTAAACCCTAAACCCTAAACCCAAAACCCTAAACCCTAAACCCTAAAAGCACTAATTCAGCTAGTCTTGAACCTTACAGCAGTAAGTCAGCTAGTTCACAACCCTAAGCCGCAGACCCGAAACCAGGATAGGGTATTGGGTTGAAGGGATGCAGGCGCGAGCGCCTGGGGCCGTGGCAAGGGCGTAAGGCTCTAAGAGCTCAGGGAGTTGGTGTAGATGGAGGGCTTAGGGTTTAGGGTTTAGGGTTAACCCTAAACCTAAACCCTAGAGTTTGGGGTTTAAGCTTCAGGTTCAGGGTTCGTGAGGCCCTTGTTCTTCGGCTTCGTCCTGACCTCCCTCCTCGCTGTTGCGCTGCCTGCTGGAGGCGACGCCGCCAGCCAGAAGCCCACACCCCAAAACCCCCAAACCCTAAACCCTCAAACACCCCCAAACACCCCCAACCCCCAAATCCCAAACGCTAAACCCTAAACCCCAAACCCTAAACCCTATTTCGATGCTGCGAAGAAAACGTTGAAGCCGTCGTCCTCCCCAAGCTTCTTGCCTTTGGGGGTTTAGGGTTTAGGGTTTAGGGTTTAGGGTTAAGGGTTTAGGGCTAAGGGTTAAGGGTTTAAACGGTTTAGGGTTTAGGGTTTGCAGGCGGCGGCAGAGGTGGGATGCTTGGGCGGGATTCGGCCACTGCCCAGGCGCTCCCCCGAAAGGCCCAACATTCGCAAATCATCGCGCAACCTTCAACTTAGTATCTGAGTGAGTACACTTTACACATTTTGGGATACTATAACCCCCTATAACTATAGAACTGAAAGTGTACACTTTTTGGGGGCTTATGAACTCAGCAACTAAGTCAAAGCCAAGTAGCACCAGCAATAAGAGCAAGATTAGCAACAACACTTCAAACACCCCCAGCCCTATAAAAACCTAAACCCTTATAAACCCTAAACCCTAAACCCTAAACCCTAAACCCCCTAAAAAGCAAACGAGTCAAGGCCTAGCAGCCAGCTCGGCTCTCGGCGGCATCGCCGGGCGTGCGGCCACGTTGGCCGCCGCGTGGCCTGCTTTGCACCTAGGGTTTAGGGTAGGGTTTAGGGTTTAGGGTTTAGGGTTTTAGGGTTTAGGGTTTAGGGTTTTAGGGTTGTAGGGTTTAGGGTTTAGGGTTTAGGGTTTAGGGCTTGGGGGTTGTCCCAAAAGCGGTGAGGCGTGCGTTGTGCTAGGGCGTACAGTGGACAAGTGGAGAGAAGGCTGAGTCTGAGGGCTTGTTGAAGCGTCAATGTGGGGGTTTCCGAAATTGGGGGGGGGGGGGGTGGGTGTATCTTATTGAGGTCCCTAAACCCTAAACCCTAAACCCTAAACCCTAAACCCTAAACCCTAAACCCTAAACCCTAAACCCTAAACCCTAAACCCTATAAACCCTAAACCCTAAACCCTAAACTGAGGGGATGCTACTATTTGTGGGTCTATGTTACCCCTTATTATCCTACACCCCCCATGTGGGCTTGAAGACGTCCTGTGCCTCTGCGAAGAGCGCTCTCTAAACCACCTATAGGGTGCTACCCTAAACCCTAAACCCTAAACCCTAATCCCTAATCCCCAATCCCTAATCCCTAATCCCTATGTCCGTGTTCAGGTTTCTGGGCTTCTCTCATTCGATGAGAACCCTGCGCCCCTTTCACCCTATTTCCCAAAGAGAATCTCCCCAGGACCCAGAGTAGTTTCCGATATAAGCCCCTTTATTCCAAAAAGGGCACCCTTCGCATTCCTAGGTTAGTCTTGGGTCTAGAGAAAGATGTACGGTTCAGGAGTTAGGAGAAACCTGTCACTCCTAAACCCTACAACGGAGCAGGTTATTACCCGCAAATCTGGGCCACAACCCCAAACTAGTAGGTAGGTGGAGCCCCAGATAGGAACTACAAGAGAGAGACCCTAAACCCTAAACCTTAAACCCTAAACCCTAAACCCCAAACCCTAAACCCTAAACCCTAAACCCTAAACGCAACAGAGAGAGAGAGAGAGAGAGAGATGCTGGCCCAAGAGCCATATCAAGGCTGCCCCTGCAGTTCTGCACCCTGGCTTGGGTTCCTTCAAAAAAATTCAAGTTTGGGGGTTGAGGCTCTGGGGTTTAGGGTTTAGGGTTTAGGGTTTAGGGTTTAGGGTTGAGGATGGTTTTTTGGGGTTTTAGGACAGTCCTATTTGCGGTCCTCGGAGACGTTAGGATGCTTGGGACACTGAAAACTAGGACCGGGAGTAGGCCCTTTTTTTCTTTTTTTTTAGGGTTGGGGGTTCCCTTACTGTATCATCCCCTTAAAACCAAAAGGGCGCC